GTGCCGTGGAGGCGACGCGGTTTTTTCGCCGCTAGCCGCTTCGGTGGGACCTGCGGACCTTCGGCTTCGGAGGTCCTTGGGGGGGCAGTACCGGCCTTCGACATCAGTCAGGTCCCGGACGCGCGGAGAATCGGTCCTTCCACCTAGGCTCCCACCTCTGAGGAAAAGAAAGAACGTCGGCGCCATGGGGGTGACCGATCGGTTCGAAGAATCGCTTGGTCCAATGAGTCTCTGGCGTCTCTGGTGTTGGGCAGCACGAGGTAGCTGGACAGTTAAGGATTTGCATGGTTTTGGTGAAGTGTTTTTCTTTGGAGATTGGGATCATGCAGTCACCGGTACTTCTTCCAGCCACATACAATTCTTCAAACAGCCAATAGACACATCACATGCATGTCAGTTGTTGCGTTTCTTGCATGTAACCCGCAATGGAAACTCTTGGGTCAAATCCAAAAGTCACTATGTTGCCCAAGTCCACCTCTGATTTGAGATGTTCATTTTTCGAGCGAATCAGTGCAAAACCAGCTCAAGCTACAAACGAATCCTGTCGCAGCGGACGAACAAACGAAGGAACAAGATACAAGTAGCATATAGTAGCTCCTGGCATTATTACTAGTAACAACAAACTACTAGTAACAAAGGGCATCGCTACTATAATTATCAAGGACGCTATAGATATACTAGGATACAATTCACTAAGAGTCTAGGGTAGGTATAGGAGTCTGCTCTCGCCGGCAGGAACCCATCGCATACCAAAACAACACCACGAGTCTCAAAACGGTGTGTGCCGCGGAAACGGTGTGATGTGTTGTTCAGGAAAAAACAGAAAAAACACATGCGTCAACATCCATGAACGTCCAGGGACTAACTGGCTTTCACAAGCTGGCCAACTGCATGGAATTTCGCTCTGCTCTCGGGTCTTCCTGGCTCGTCCCAGGGGTCTGGTCGTTCGTTTTTCGAAGGACGCTCCGACTCTGAAAGCTTCACCAAGGAACTCGTTGGTCAAGAGACCAAAGGCAGTGCCCAGCAGCTCTGGATCCTCTGCCGGCACCATCTGTGGCACCTGTGGAGGTGCAGCGTGTGAAAACTACTACGAGGATCGGTTCTGGATGGAATGGGAGAGGTGTTTTCTTTTTTTCAGCAGATGGAATCACCGGTTCGGGGCTTGTGAACATGCACGCGAGATGGCGAATCGGCGAATCACCGTCATTTGGAGATGGATCATCCAGGATTCGTCTGCACAGGTTTCGACTCTGGGCTCTCAGTGAGACCACAACTGTGGCACCACAAAGGACAGACTCTCGGCTCATCCTGCCTGATTCTCTTCACTGCTTGAACGCGTAAGTGAAGGATGCGTTAAAAAAGAATGCAGCGCGAATATTCGCCCTGCCTGGCTGCTATATTTTCTATGTCAAATTTCATCCATGTTCCATCATGTTTGGCTACTTCGTCTCATTCATCTTCCTTCTTCGCACCTGGTGACCTTCTTAGCCTAACCGTTCGCCCTTCCATTTGGACTATCAGGGTCCAGCCTGTCTCACACGACGGCCGTGCGACGCGCGGTGTCCAGCGCGCCTGTCCATAGAGCCGACTGGGCAAGAAGCGGCCGGGCTCGAAGACCACCGCCTGACCCGTGGCGACCAGGTAACCCCGGTAACCCCACAGCGGATGGGCTCTGACCAGTCTGATGGGTTGCTTGGGTCTCCCGGGTGACGTGGATCCCACGTGGAAGAGGGATGGAGCGAGACTCCAGCTGTGACAAATCGGCGACCTCCCCCGGTCACGTCATCCCTTCATTGCTTCATCAGCGTGGTCTTTCACCGAAGTAAGGCGGGCGGAACATGGGCGGAACGACTTGTGGTGTGGTCAATGCTCAAGTCTTCGATGTATGTTTGGCATGTTTTGGAACTCTTTTTGCGGGGTGCAGACTCTTTTTCTTCATCCTTTTGGTGCAAACGTCGGATGTAACGTCGTCCAATGGTCACTCCTCAAGCAAGCTGGGATGTCAGATGTTGAAGGATGTTGAAGGTGTGGGACTTTTCGGCAAAGAATCTCCTTGACCGTTGGCCACCGACCTTGGCCTCCCATCCTGGATGTCACGATGGAGTGTTCAGCAAAAAA